TGGAGTAGAAAGCCCCATCTTTCTCCCATGGAGCCATTCACTGGAGTTTCAAACTACTGACCTTGTGATTGGCAACCTAATGCATAACCACTGTGCCCCTGGGCTTTTCTTCTGAGATGCCTCTTGGGGGATGCAAATTGCCAGCTTTCAGTTAGTAGCCAAGGGATGCCAATCAGTACTCATTCGGAGGAGAAAAATGATCAAAATTGTACACTAAACCCAAAGAAAATAATGTTATCATTTCAAAAGAAACAGCTACCAGGAGACGGCTAACAGAGTGCAGCTCATCTGAAATTTGTCAAGAGGACTGCTTGAAGGACTAAATTTATAATCATGTCTAATTAGTACATCAATTAGATGTAAATGGTGCTTTAAAGAGCTGGATGAAACAATCATTCTGTTAAGCAATTTAAGGAGTCCCTGCTATACTATTCATTGAGTCTTTATTCATAAATATTACAAAGGTTAATTTCAGACCAGCCCGTGCAATTTTAATGCTAACAAACTTCAAATTGAGGCCATACAAATTAATGACATGTTTCTATCGAAGTACTAACAGAAAGAAGATACAGGGGAAGAGAAGAAGTGTTAGAGCAACACAAAAACAAGCCACCAAAGTGGTTATTTCTATATTTTCCAACTACCTGAGATACTCCCCAAAGGGCAGAATGATTCCCCATGTCCCCTGTTCTCTGCACTCCAGCCCCTCTCTACCCAGATCCCCCCAAGCCTGGCCCACCACCTGCAGACTTCCCTCTTTGGCCTTGGGGAACTAGGAGATGATTTAATTAATCCTAACCTGCTGTCAAGTCTGAAAGTGACCCTATAGGACCAAGGGTTTCCAGGCCGGTAACTCTTTAAGGAGCAGGCTGCTTCATCCATCTCCCAAGAAACAGCTGGTGAATTTGATCTGCTGCTATTTTTATTTAGCAGCCCCATACTACGCTCTCGGAGCCACCAGAACTCCTTAACCCCCAAGACACAGATGATGCCGGAAAGGTAGAGACAGGGGAAAAGAAAAGGAGAGTACACTTAACAATTGGAGGCGGTAAAGAGAGCGAGCATCTCCTTGTCATACACACACACACACACACACACACACACACACACACACACACACGAGCAGGGGGTCTTCAAACTACGGCCCGCAGGCCACATGCGGCCCACCAAGGACATTTATCCGGCCCGCTGGGTGTTTTTGCCCCATTTTGTTTTTCACTTAAAAAAAAAAACTATGAACAAATTCCTATGGACACTGCACATATCTTAGTTTGAAGTGAAAAACAAAATGGGGCAAAAACTATAGTTCGGCCGTCCAACCGGTCTGAGGGACAGCGAACTGACCCCTTGTTTAAAGAGTTTGAGGACCCCTGCCCTCGAGCAAAGCAAGAATGTTAACTTGTTCGCAGGGGAAGCTGCCCAGCATCCCAAGTCGGTTCCAACCAAATAGGTATAAGTCCCACCTATGAAGGAACTTTGGACAAAGGAGGAAGTTAAGGGACACCTTCGAAGTCTTTTCCAATGACCTTTCCATAGCCATCATTCCACAGCTTCTCCCACTATGATAGCTCTTCCTGGATACTGCCCTCACTGAGGTGCGTGTCTGTGTAAGCCCAGGGTGACAGTCTTTAATTCTCTTGGAGCACAAAACCTGTATTCAATAAAAACTCCTCCCACTGAACAGAAGCAACATCGCCCACATCGCCAATCTCAGAAGCGCTCTGAAGTCAGAGAGGTAACCAAATGGTACCAAAATTGTGC